GTTTATGCTAGTGGGTTATTGTGATTTCGGATATACTGGAAGAAGATATTCTTTTTCATGAAATCTCGTAAATAACGATTGTGTTTATTTCTTCTTTTGCGTTGATTTTATAAAAAATTTTCAAACGATTTTGCGTTCAATTAAAAACTTTTGAAATAAAAATGAGGAATATAAACTGTGGATCACAATGCAAATGCAAAGATCAATATATATCTAGGCTCACCGGTTAGTTTTCAAATTTACTTATTATTCTTCTAAAAACTTATTATTCTTAAAAAAAATTTATCCATTTTCGATCCAATCGAGTGATCTTCTATATAAACATGAAAAATATAATTTGATTTATACAATTTTAGAGATGATGACTTTTCCTGACATTCAAAAATTTAACATCGTTAACTGTTTCAAACTAAAAAGTTTCCAAGAATATACTTACATCTATCATTGGTCATTTTGATATAATATGATAATTAATATGCCTAATTAACAATAAGTTGTTACAAAACAATGAACAAGTCAGTGAAGTTGAAGACTTGCAATTAAAAATCCATCTCGCGCATGATGCATTTCAAAGAGTTGAGTACAGCCACAGCAGCAGCACAGCTAAAAAATGTATTTCATGTCCGGTTTTTATAAGTACATATAATTGCAATTAATTATATCGGTGCGCCAACGTACGTTATATCTCATTGGTCGGCGCGGAGAGGAGATTCTTCATCAGTCGCGCGCGCGTGCGCGCAAAAACCGAACGATCAATTATACAAAATCAATCATTAGTGTCGAAAAAAGCATTAAAAATTCATAAGTCCACCTTTCAAAAAGCGGTCTCATTAAATTCCAACTGCAACTTCTTACCGGCGCGAGCGTTATTCGCATCTCCGGTTCCCCATACAGCGCGCGCACACTTCCTATCTCTGTCTCTCTATCGCCATCGTCCCGTCATGCTTGTGGACGAGCCTGACAGCACCGAGCGCGGCTATGTAGTATAAAAACGCGCTTTTTCTTCGTATTATCCCCCCCCCCCCCTCTCTCCCCCCTGCTCCGCTACGTTACGCCAAAAAGGCCACATGGCTGACCCGCCAAAATGTTGACTTGGACTCGTTCTTCATTTCTACTTTCTTCCGGATTTTCTTCTTCTACATTTTTAAGCTTGGCAGCTAGCTAATTTACCAAAATTCGTATAATTAACAAATATATAGATATATATTTATAATATTCGCCACTTCGGAAAATTGCACCTTAACGTAATACTGTTTTCTACGCTTGATCAAAACACAACTAAAGTACAATATTAAACGTTTCAAAACGTCAGAGTGATATTCCGTTTAGAGTAAGTAATTTTCTCTTAGAGGTGCCATCTATAGTGTTTAACGAAATACACCGCAAAAATAGTTATACATAGTAAAAGTACGATGAATGCGTCAGACGGAGAGTAGAAATGAAAACGCGCGGCTCATTACCTCTAACAAACGACATATCAAAGTCAATTCCCGCTCGTTAGCGCCAACAAAAGGAGAGCTACGGTGTAGACCGTGCGTGTAAACATGCTATACTCGTAAAACGGCGACATAACGTTAGTGTGACCGTCAAATAAATCTCGCGAGCGGTCCGGCTTTCGAACTCCCCCACAAACAAATCGAGCAGCAAGATAAATGGCCAATATAAACTGGACACAACGCAACAAGAAGTAGGCTTGACAATTGACCACCCTCAATATTTGGACATAAGCCACAGCAGCGGCAGTAGTTTGCTTGACCATGGCGCGAAATGAGAAAAAGAGAGAGAGACAACACGATCGCTTGCAGTCGTTCACGGGCAGGCGTGTCCGCGCTGCCGGGCATTGTTCGCGCCCCCGCATGAGCTCGTCCATTCAATAGGTTAACGTTGCAGCTGGTTACACGTGATTCCTTTCTTCAGCGAGAGAGACGAGACGGAGAGCTAAGAAGTTACACGCGAGGGGCGCAAAAAGAATCTTTCGAGAGATTGGCACGAGGGTGGGGAGAGAAAGAAAAACGCAAGACCTTTGACTATGATCGATGCCAGAGGCGTTTTGTGTGCAGTTTGATTTGCAGTTTCGGAAGAGAAAGACTTTTGTTTTAATTTTCATCAATGGGCATTCGAAGCGACAGCACCGAGAAAACAACGTGTCTTTTGGCGATTCGAGTGAAATTCTTATGAGAGGAAACACCTCTGCCTACCCATCTGAACATTAAATAAAAGCGATACTTTTGCGCGGAAATGACAAAAATCCGAATGGTTAGTGCCGATCGTCATATCCCGCGAAAAATGACCGTCGTAAATATTAATGCAGTTTCATCAGCGGCAGTACAGTTGCGCGATGTCAGCGCACGACTTTCTTCCTCGATGATACTTTCGCGCGGGGATTTCTTTTGAATGTCATTAGCGTAAATGCGCGTCGATAAACATCAACGTTAACTCGACGGCAATTTGTAATACCTTATTATCAATCGGTTGCTCGGCTTTACAATAAATGGCATAACTGTACGAAAAAAATATCGTGTCCCCACATTAATTACCCGCGTGCACAGCAGCTTGTGTTTGGGGCCAAAAGTCGGATGCCGCCGCCACGCGATATCACATGAAAATGAGCGATCGGCAAAGGAGAGAGTCAATAAAGAATCAATAACGCGGGGCACATATACGAGAGCACACGCGGCAAAACAACGGTAATGCCAATGATGTCAACGAGTAGGCGATCTTTATGATTTCCTTTGGTCGTCGCCGACGATGATCGACGACGCGTAATTGCCCGGCGCGCAGCGTTTCTTGTCCCAGCCGCGATCTTTCGCTTCTGGAATTCCGAAGCGAAAGACGTTTACCGATAATGGTGAAAGAAGAAGATAAAAACTAACGCAGGGCGCGCGCGTGCGAACTCCTCGCGTGTGGGTGTAATTTTGTTCTTGTGTGTATCATTGCAGCGGCTTTCGAAAACAGTTGTATTTTACTTTAAACGCGCTTTTCGGCAAAAAATTCTTCCATAAAGTCGCGATTTTGGAAACAATCACGTTGCTGTACATGATACGTTTTTTTTCCTGTATCGTCCAATTACAGGACGTGACTTTTTTGCTTTTCGGTAGTTGGCCAATGATTCAGTTATTGATCATTTTGGAAGTTGGTGCATGGAAACGAAATAAATTCGATCTTTAAAAAGAGAATTTTTCGGGGAATTATCTGCACACTATCGCACTCCAAGGGTGCAAATTCACATTAATCAAACCAATTTCAAATTCTCCTTCGCGGGTTTATCTTAATCTTCTCAATGATTTCTCCTTATTTACAACAAGCCGTCAAAACCGTTTTATGCCAAAAATAAAAATTCGCTTATCAACGTCGTCCGCGATAAACAGCCTCCTTTTCGACATGGGTGTGCTTGTGAAAAAAGGACCGTTATATGCAAACAAGACTTAATTAGAGCCAGAGCATTTATAGCGTTGAAGCTCTTTTACCTGCCACACTATTTTCGCAACCGTAAAAAGATTCCGAACACCTTTTTCGTGTTTCATCCGTGGCAGATGTTTCATTCGATTTTCAATCAATTTTAAAGTGTTGTGCGCAGGCTGCACTGCTGGACTTACGTGTATGCCCATTTTTCAAGATAATCGCTTGACGAATCGAACGTCCGGATTGACTTATCTATAATAGCGATTGGATGAATTGACAATAACGAAATGTTATAGTTGATGAACGAGAAACTGACCAATTGGTTGGCCTGAACGATTTGATGATTAAAATACGAAAAAAGAAATTATATGTTAAATTATTCATACGTATGAATTACAAATTTAATTACTTTCATAAATTGATTGACTCTTCTCTCGTATGATAAGAATCTTTCAAAACTCCTCGCATACGTCTGTGCTACATCACTCCCGCGCAGGTGCATCGAATTCCATAATTACGCCTTCTTGATTAACAGATGCCCCCTATACGCTTCGCTTTGAACTCACCCAGCGATAGCAACAGCTACCGTCTTTATCCACCGACTTCGCGTCTTTAAGGAAAATCATAGATTTTTTATCGATGTCATTCTTTTTGTTGTTGTCATTGTTGTTGTTTCTGTTTTCATAATGATGTAACTGCTTTATTTTTGAGACTCTCAATCTATTACGTCATCGTTTACAATACAAGAAAGAAATGATTATTTATTCAACTGGGACAAGATGTAAACGTAAAAAATGTTTATACTGTTAGTTGCACAGGTGTACTGTCATAATTGGGCGTTCTTGAGGACAGGTTAATGCGAAACACGTGTGCAATATTACGCATCAAGACTGTAAAAGTAAGGAAGTGAAACACTTTATAGTTTAGACAAATTTCGAAACTGGTTTTTTTGTTCTTTTGTTTTTCTTTTCATCGATGATCAATGATTTCACTAAAAAATTATGTGCTTACGATTCAATTCCTATAACATAAATGTTCAAAATAAATAATTTCTTGGAAGCCTGTGTATTTCAATTTAACAATGCTGATATTATAAACAGTTATACATTTTTAGTTTGTAAAACTGCTTATAGAGATATTTATGCTGTACATTTACGTATATTAACCCGCATGAAATCATATATCATTACTTTATTTTTATTTCTCATATAATTTCATTGTATTTTCAGTTAAAAAAGATTTAAGAGATGGATTTCAGATGCAAACTATTGGTATTTGTTTCTATTTTTGATCAAACAATACATATATGTAATATCCATAGTAGTATAGTTAATTCCTTGCTTAGCTTTATTGGAACATGTCAAGTTTGTCATTACCTGACATTCAATCATATTACTTATCATGATGATTTTTAAATGACGTTCTCATATCGTTTTGTTAAAGTACAAAAGCAAATAGAACAACGCGATCTTGACATTAATTATTTATCAAATTATGTCATCATATCAAATTCAAAGTCTATATATAAGTAAAAATGAATGTATTTTTTTATGTATTGACAGTTTGAGATACATGTAAGTGAAGTGGTCTTTATGAGGATGAAATTCATAATAATATTATTGTGTTTGGCTTCTTATTCAAGCGTAAAGTGCTACGACAGAGAAGAATCAGAAGTGTTCGAAGATGCGGAAACTGGTTCTGAATGTAGACATTGCGAAAGTGATGATAAATTTGAAGATGCGTACGATAGTAATCAATTTTTTACTAAACTTGAGAAAATAAACGATACTGAGATAATGAGTAAACAAAAAATATCGTTGAATTGTTTTGGATTGGGTCGTAAATTAGCGAATTGGATGGACTCATTTTTGAGAAATGAGTCGAATGGTACAGAAGCTATGAAAGTGTTGTTTTATTCACGTACGAGAAGTCGGCCAGAAAGAAAACTTATACAATGCGGACAAACTTTTTCAATAGAAGAAACCGATTTTGATATTACTAAAAGAACGGTTTTCATCGTTCATGGATTTTTTGCCGACGCAGATGAACAATGGGTTATAGATATGGAACAAGCATTATTGTCTTGGGTAATTAACGATGATTATTATTTTTACACACTTTTATTTAAAAATATCATTTAAAAATCCATTTTATAAAAAAAATTAATTTTACAACTCGATGACCACAGGGTGATTTAAATGTTTTCGTTGTCGATTGGAGCGACGGTGCCAGTACATGGAATTATTTAAAAGCAGCCGTAAACACAAAAACTGTCGGAGATCAAATTGCAACGTCAGTTTCTTGATATCTGAATTTTAATTTTTTTACGAATTTATCAACTTACTTTTTTATATGAAGTTATAAATATGCATACATTGTTTATTTTTTCAGTTTCATAAACCAGATAATAGACGACGTTATTGAAAACGTAGAAGCAAGTGAATGGGGTCCACTTCACCTAATCGGTCATAGTTTAGGTGCCCACATTTGTGGCTACACATCTCATGAGTTAAAACTCCGGGGAAATCAATGGCCAGTTTATCGGATCACAGGGTTGGATCCAGCACAGCCATGCTTTCGTTACTCAGATCTGTCGCTACGTCTCGACAAATCAGATGCTTACTTCGTCGACGTAATTCACACGAATGGAAGAATTTTAAGAAAAATGGGTCTTGGTCTACCTTATCCTCTAGGTATAATATCTTTATGTTGTAAAACAATCTAGATACGTGTGCGCTGCTTTTATTGATTCAATAAAACACGGTCACGTACATAAATTAGTTAAGTCATTATTAGCACATTACTATGATGTATAAACTGTTCTATACTTAATCAAGTGCTATGTCGCAAGTTTACTTTCTGTCTGAGTAAACGAAGTTTAAAATTTCCATATTTTGTAAAAGCTTTATTGATAAAGTTTCGACATCTACGGATTTTCAATGAATTTCGTACTTTTGATATCTACAATTTCATACCGTTCTGTAGGCACGCAGTGTCTTTTGTTGAATAACGACAATGTACTTATTTGTCAACAATTTATTTATTAAAATTTTGTAAATATTTGCGAGATATCTTCTTATTAAATTTTACAAAAAAGACATGCACTTCATTTTAATAATTAGCTTAATGACTTGTTTAATTGATTTATTGATTCACATTTAGGTCATGTTGATTTTTATCCGAACGGTGGGAGAGTTCAACCTGGATGTATTCTCGCTGAATCATCTTTTTGGAATTTTTTACCAGCAGTTATCAAGGGTACGGTAATCAAGTTCATTCAATAATTTTTGCGAGACAGAACAACATAGATAATTATTCGAATGATATTAATTCCAGAAATTAAGAAAACTGTATGTAGTCATGGGAGATCCCAAATATACTTTATCGAATCGATATATATAGCAGTTGAGAATAATTGTACGTTTTGGGCGCGCGAATGGGATATGTCATTTGTGGGTCTTCAGAACTTATCATTACGTGAATGTAACGTGGATAAAATGCATCACGAGTGCATTGAAATGGGAATAAACGCGGAAAAGTATCATCACAATGGCACGTTTTTTACTGTGACTACAAGTTCATCGCCATTTTGCAGTAAATTTCAACGCTTTTTTTAATCAATCAGAAAATAATAGTTTCAGATGTTAACAAATTTTATTATTTTTTAGATGTGAGCAAATATGCAATTGATGAAGTGGTGGAAAACATTGAAAGGAAGATTACTACAACAGATGATTATATTCATCAAATAAGTTAGATATTAACTATACTTTGGAACAAAATAAAAGTTTTTGTAAGAATTAAATTTTTTAATAAAAGCAATGAATAAATATAAAAAACATACTATTTTATTATACTACATCAAATATGCCATTTGATTACAAGACATGACATTGAAACAATGTGACATTGAATGTTATCAATATTTGATAGTTTAAACAACCGTGTTCGTTTCGTATAGATAACGATTCTCGAGGATTTGATTCTACACGAATTTTTTATCTTTGTTTATTTAACGTAACTACTAACATACTTTAATTTTTTTTAATTGAACAAGAAATATAAAATAGTATTTATTAAAAAAATGGTAAAGTATTTCACATAAAATTTTATTGAAGTAATAATTAGATATTTGAGAGAAACATAAGTTTAAGATTTTGCTTATTATTAAAAAATGATAAAATATGTGACTATATCTTACGCAATATTATATGCCAATTAATCTTTTATTAATTTTTCCATAGAAATAAATAATATCAGATAATATATCATTTTTTAAGAAAATAGTTTTTTATTTTTTGTATACAATAAAAAAGCATTATATCAAATAAATAAAATGAAAAAATTAGTTTACACCCGATGTGAAATGAACCCTGCCGTTTAAAGGAATGACATAGCTTCTTCATGTTTACTAAGAATGTCAACGTGAATAGAATTCAATATGTTATGTTATATTCTTAATAAGTCTAGTATCATATATATATAAGTATGCGGGATCAAATGAGTAATTAAGTGCAAACAAAGGCTCGTGTTGTTGCGAGTTTTAAGTGTTATATTTATGATATTAAGAAAATCAAATTTCATGTTGTATGTAGCGTATAGTAAATAGTATAGTGACAAGTGAAAATCCAATTGTAAGTTAAATATTATTCGCGGTTTGGAGAATATCGGAAAATTTCAATAAAACAAAGTCTACAATACGAGTCATGAGCCAGAATCGTCTTGTATTAGATTTCATGCCAGTGTCGCGTACATATTAATACATGAAATTCCAATTTCCAATTAAAGCGTCTTCTGACAGTATTGTATGTCAACCGTGTGTACATTCATACTGTTATATATATTTATATATATTATACACACACACGTGCGCGTGCACACGTACATATCGCTAGTTCCAGTTTCTTCGGATTTAGTTGAAATCTTATCGTCGTGGACGCTGCGTCAAAAATGAAACCACGTTTCCTGGCTTCCTCGGCAGTTTTCTGCTGTTTGACTCTCTTACTGTTACAAGAATCCAAAGCTGGTCGCGAAAACATTCAAGTTAGAGATGTGGAAAACAATGCAACTTGCCGGGAGGATTTATTTAAACTCGATCAAAATATATATAAAGGAAGAAGATCGCTATCAAAAAAGGCATTAGATTGTTTTGGACTTGGAAGACATTTTGCTAGAGCTTTGGATTTCTTTTTGAAGAACAATGCTAATGGAACTTCAATGTTTACGCAGAAAGTCAAATTTTATGCGTCTTCGAGAAATATGCCAGAAAGGGTGGCCATGTCGCATTTGACAGCATTCGATTTGACTGGTGTTGATTTTAATATCACACGAAGGACCATAATGATTGTCCATGGATTTCTCGCCAACGGAGATGAAAAATGGATTGAAGATATGAAGAAGGCTTTTCTGAAATGGGTACGTTTTGAAACATTATTTTGTTATAAAAGTTATTCGTACGTTTTCTTTTGTTTTTCTAAAATAATTTTAATTGAATACTTATGATTAAAAAAATAATGAATTCATTTTTTTAGGACGATGTGAATATTTTTGTTGTCGACTGGAGTGATGGCAGTAACACGTGGAATTACTACAAAGCAGCGGTAAATACTCGCACGGTCGGAGATCAAATCGCTACGTAAGTATAAGTGGCACACTGTCAAAATCCATCAAAACAAACAAGATCTATAATCTTCTTTCGATATCCACAGATTTTTCGGACAACTTGTCGATTCAGTCATCGAGTATAACGAAGTAAACACAATTTCTGATACGTTTGGCTCGTTGCATCTCATTGGTCACAGTTTGGGCGCTCATATTTGTGGCTATGCTGCTAAAGAAATGAAGAAGCGACAGAATAAATGGCTCGTCCAGCGAATCACTGGACTTGATCCAGCTCAGCCGTGCTTTATCAATTCCGATCCGTCGTTGCGTTTGAATCAGGATGACGCGCCGTTCGTTGATATCATTCATACTAATGGACGTGTATTGGCTAAACTTGGGCTTGGTATGCCACATCCTTTAGGTACGGATACCTTTTTTTATTTCTCTCGACAACAGTGGAGAACATTATTTAATTTTTCCTTGTCTTGTGTTATAGGCGATGTTGACTTTTACCCAAATGGTGGAAAAGTCCAACCTGGTTGTGGTTTGTCGGCTACCTCTATATGGACTTATCTACCATTACCAATTGAAAGTAAGATGATTGTTATTTAACTATTAACATGATAAAATAATGTTGGCTTTTGTAGTATAATTTTTTTACTCTTACAGAAATTGCAAAAACAATCTGTAGTCATGGCAGATCTTACATGTATTTTATCGACTCGATCATGTCAGAAGTTAGACGTAGTTGTAGATTTTGGGCTCAAGAGTGGGACTTAAATTACGAAAGATATGATGTACTTTTTGAAGTTGATTGTAAGGACAAAAAATGTGTCGAGATGGGAATAAACGCTGAGAATTACATTTTCAATGGTACATTTTTGACGATTACTGGAAAGACGCAGCCTTACTGCTGTAAGTTTAATTTAATTAAAGTGAAGCTAAAATATACCATATTCGTCATAAAATGTTTCTGTAGTTATCGGCCCGGAAGCAAAAAAGGAAGTGAAAGAAATCATGGATCATACGAAAAGAAAATTATCGTGCAAAACCAGTGCCGAATCATAGCGCAGCGATGCAGAGGACGTAATTTTAGTAATTTATGATTAAAGAAATTTTCAGAGATAACCTAGAATAACGGCGTATTACTTTCGTAAGATAGATTTACTTGTAAGGTTGTCTTTCAAATGACAACGGTCAATGAATCTCAGTAATTAATGTTAACGTTTGCTCAAAGTATATTTTGCGTATGTTTCCAAGCGTCAGGAGCCCGCAGATACTGTATCGAAGGACAGAGCAATTTAACTAAAACTCGTGCAAGATAGCTCGAGCATTCTTTGTCTCTTCTACTACAATCAATGTCATTTCACCATTGCGTCAGATATTTGTTGTCGTTAGACACGCCGCACTCCATCGCTCGTGCGAGCGCGTTTATTGCCAATGAAATTCAGCAACGTAACAAAAGCATTAATAACGCGCCTAATCCTCGAAAATACGTTTCTTTGAAAAGCCCTGGAAAATAAGATAACCCATCAAGCAGTCTCGCGGCGCCGCAACAAATCACGAAAAGCGTCCAACCTGTTGCGCGCCACGACAGAAACGTTAGGCTTTCGAGTTGTATGTGTATACGTCGGCTCTTTACGAGCTGTAAATCCTTTGGCAATTAAACGCAAGTGTCACGACTGTTTGTTGCGTGGGTGTTATAAGTTGCGCAAAGTGTTTGAAGCGAGAGAGAGAGAGAGAGAGAGAGAAAGCAGCGTTTGCGTGCACGCGGAGAGAGATCGCTCGCGTTTCACGTGGCGCGTGCGCGCCACGTCAATCACCGCGATTTATCCGCGAGCGCCGCCGCGTTCGCGGTGCGGGTAATGTCGTGTGTATGCGTTGCGAAAGTTTAAAGTGAAAATTGCTCGTTGCTGTTTGACCGCGCGACGCATGTCGATTGCGAGCTGACGTAAGAAACAAGCCTTATGATTCCGTGTGATATTCTTATGCGTTATTGTTGCATAGAAATTTAGGGCCTAGCTGTTCATTGAAGTTACGTTGCGTGCACCAAGTGCTCATTAAATTCGTATAAATTACATGTAAATAATTAACTTATTCAAGATGCTAAACTGTGATTATTAGTAAACGTTGAAACGCTTCGAAATTTCAGAAGCCAGAGATCGCGCGCCAGGCAAATTGCCTGACATAGTTCATAATTGGCTTTAATTGCTGACCGAATTATTATCGCAGCAATCTACGCGCGTACACAAATCTCCATGTCGCTCCCTGTCCATTCCAGCTTCTCTCCTATAAACCTGAAGTGTAGTTCGTAGTTCGTAATAAAATCCATCGCAGCTGCACCACCCAAGTCGTTGTTTATTCCTGTAAACTTTACAGCATAAGTATAAAAACATTATTTCACGTAATTTTCTAGTCAGCCGCGCAGGTACAAGGCTATATCAAGTAATACGAAAAGGCTACCGGCATACACACACACGCACGCACACACATACAAAACTACAAAACCAAAAGCCAGTCGGGAGAGAAAGAGCGAGAGCTGTACTTACCTTCCAGCAGCAGCGGCATGCAAACTTTTTATATATATCGACGATACGAGCTTACAAGGGGAATTGCCTGTCCGATGACCGCGAATCGACGGCCGGATAATTGCGATCGCGTGGCCGGACCCATTCCGACCTTTTGACGCGTGCGCGGCTATTTGCGCGTTGATTAGGAAACGGCACGCATGGTTTTTCAGTTGGCAATGTAATTTTTTCCTTACTTTTCTGAGGAATCTTTGATGAAAGAGGCTGCGCGAGTGCAGGTAGCCAGAGCCGTGCTCGATTAATTGGTCGCATCGAATCGCACCTAATGCGGTTGAGCGCCTGCTGGGCAATTGCTCACGCGGCCAAGTGAGCATTCGCTCGAACGTATGGCGACGTCGAATCCCATCGATGGCCAGACGGCCGAAGCGAGAATTCCCGAACGCACAATCACTGCGCTTTAATTGGCTCTCGTCGTGACTCGAAATAATAGATACGAATGATAGTGGGAGGATCAAACGCCAAGCGCATGCATTATTAATATCGGGCGAGCGAGCTCTTTCAATTTGCCACGGTACGCGACGATAAATCGATCGGGAACCGTTAGGCCGATGTGTGTCTGTCTGCGTGAACAACATAGGCGCACTATCGCGCAGACCGAACGATTGATATCTACGATGAGAGTTGTGCTTGGAATCGGACAAAAATTAACAGCGTTCCTTTTTTTTTCCTTTTTTTCCGAAGCTCGTTTGCCCGCAGCTGATCGGGTTTGCTGATAGCGCTAATTCCGCGCCTGTTTGAATTGTTATCACAGGGACGCTGATTTTCAATTTATGTCCGTCGACGAGGAATACCGTATAAAACTCAATTAAAACTATGCCGCTGAGGAGAAAAACCTTAACGTTTCTTTTTATCCAAGTAGGTTGTACGGACTTTGTTATGATTGTTTTCAAGCTTTTAATCCTACAAATCTTTCATTTGGGTACGTGACTTCCTATCGAATCGTAAGTATCGCCGATATACTTGTAAAGTTATCGTAAATAAGCGTTTTGGTGGATTAACTTAACGCACTTAATGGACAATGCGTTGCACTCGATGAGCCGCTAATGTGAACACGTGCGTTTACTTGAAAAGTAAAACATAAAAATTTCAAAGTCTTATCTAGAAAAGTGTAAACAGTGAAAAGTAATGATATGGCTTGACGTTAGGTAAATCTTTACCTTGTACTAACACAATAAATCGTACGGAAAGCAAAATAGTAGATTACAAGCCAAGGCTGCGAAAGTATTGGCAAGTCCATAGCGCGTGTAAATTGACAAACGTGCGCCACGGGCTTGCTAATATCGCGGCCATGGGCCGTGTACTAACGAGGCCGAAAAAAGAATGTTACCGACCGAGCGGCAGTCGGGAAATGCTATACTTCCGGGCCACCGGGCGAAGAAAAATGAACGCAATCGCATCCGTTGAGCAACAACGAAGCAACAGCTGATAACTCACTGGCGATGCAGACAAAACATTCTATAAACTCATCATACAAGCGAGCTACCCCGCGAGCATTATAACGACGATTAAAACGAATTGCGATATATGATAATATGATATACTGTGATCGCTCGACGCGAGCGTTTTATCGGTTACACAATCTACCTTTGGCGCGTTGTCTTTGTATATAATAGTTACACGGTGCGCATGTAATAAAAGCGAACAAGCGCGAGTTAATCGTTATATTTCCATAAGACACGCGGTGCGCGCGCGCGGCCATGAGAGAGGAACGAGCAAGGTCGGAAGAGGACGGTATTCCCGCTGCACCACTCGCCGCACGATGCGCGCGAGTGTCGCGAGGCTTTGCGCTCTCGCTGCCGGGCCGCCGTTGTCACGTTCGCGCGCCCGAATTTCAACTCGGGCCTAACCGGCGCGAGCGCGAGGAGCAGCGGTACAAGTGTAGGATACACGAGGAGCAAACAGTGCTCGACCTTGGTTATCCATCACCGGCGCTCGCGCACTTTTGCGCCATGTGGGAGGTATTGCCGTGGAGTGCGAGCAGCTCCCTCAACCTAAGGAATTTACCACCAACCGAGAGCGAGCCAAAGCACATACACGACGCGTGTACGTGCGCAACATCTGTCTGCGTAGACGATGCCTCGAGTATACTTTCCACCTTGGACGTTGTACGTATTCACTTTTTCAAACACAGTGTAGGCGATATTGACCGAGGATACCAGTGCTAATATGCGTCGCTCGTGTGAATTCATTTGTCGTTTTTACGCGTATTGCAACGATGTGTGATTTATTTGGAAGAAGTTTGCTCGGTGAGTTATGGTGGATGACTGCACACGCTGTAATGAACGAGTGCTGGTTTATGCCTTTCTGTGCTGAACATTAGCGTGTGATTTGTCATGCATTTATCTAATGTGTCGCATTGACGTACTTTCTATTTCGTGAGTACCGCGCCGTCAATTTTTGACGATAATTTGTTCGTTATTCTCGTACTCGACCAAAGCGATAGATTCATCGAGAATCAAAATTTCAATAGTACTATTATAATCAGAACAACTTTCAATAAATCGAAAGTCGATTTCATGAATTTGACCAATGCCGAAAACCAATCAGGTCAATATTACAGAACTCAATCGATACGTTATAGTACCGGCAGTGCAGAACAAGCCGAGAGTGAAAGAAAAGAAAAAAAGAATATCGACATACGCTCTCGGATTATTAAAGGCTTGCTTGCTTGTGGAACACATCAGGCCGCGCGAAAATGAACGATTGCCAGGCCAGCAGTTTTATCGCTCCGAAGAAATCGCACGATGTATTATCGAGATCGGCCCATCTTTTCTCTCCGTCTCTCTCTCTCTCCCTTTCTCTCTCTGGTCGATTGATAATTAGTGCATTGTACGCGCGCGTGCGGTCTGTCGGGGCTTTGGCAATTAGGAGCCGCTACGGCCATAAGTCGATCAATCGTCTTTTGCTAATTAATGTTTTCTCTTTTTATGCGTGCGGCTATTACGTTACGTTGCGAAAAATCGTACTGTCTCACTCAGCCGTCTAAATTGACGGGCGTATATAGGTGTATTAACGCGATCGAACTGACGAAAATAAAAGAAGACTCGGTTCGCCAAGTTAGAGCTACTTTGAGAAAGCGCCAGCTGCAGCGCTCACTTTGAAGATTGCAAATCCTAATACCGATATTCAGATAGAATCGGACTGCGAAACAGATCGACTGCAGATCGCTAACTTGAGCGCGCCTCTGCATCTCATTAGCGGCGACTCGGCTTCGAAACGACCAGGTCCAAAACTGGCCAGACAGTCTCGTATCACGTGAAACGCACTTCCGACCGCGGAGCGAAGAAGCAATTAAGGGAAACGATCAATTATCACGGTGCACGCGCGCAACCCACGGGGCACGTGTACAGAAGTCAAAGTCACCCCTGTAATAGCCCGTAAACACGCGCGCGCAGACACCCGTACAGCGACAACGAGGCGAAGTGCAATTCGTCCGCGCAGACCTGTCTTTCGCCGCCGCGCGCTCTTGGCACGCAACTGCCCACGATAAGCATTAGCTTATCTGGGCGTTGCGATCGAGTAGCAGCAGCAACAGCAGCAGCAGCAGCAGCAGCAAACGTTTAAAACCGCAAAGGTAAGGAGATATAATTGCGAACGTACGCGCGTGCGGCTTCTTCTTCTTCTCCTTCTTCTGCTTCGTCTTCTTCGTCTTCACGGTCACCTGTTTTCCTTTTTTACCGTATATACATAAATTAAGGGTTATGGGTTCATATAATTCGCGCAGCTCGTATGTGTGTGTTATTGATTGTTTCAGATGCATGCGCGCCTTGAAAAATTGCTGTGGTGTTTTTTTTTTTTATTTACGAAGGAGGGGAAGGGGATGACGAGTAATAACGATCGGCGTCGCACTGCGTGTATACTTAAACGCGCGAGAATTTCATTATACTTTCGAGCTTCGTGGAAAAGAAAACTTGCGGATGTCGTGGCGTGGACGGTAAACAGTTAACTTTCGGGATGCCGAGGAACTGATAATACACCACACGACTTCAATGTACGCTCTTTCCAATTGAAACTTTGACGCGGTTGGTACGTTAATTTTTACGTGATTGGAGTGAACACGTTGAGGCTATAAAGGGATATTTTCGGATGAATATCCCGAGAACTTTCGATACCGTCATTAGAACATCAGCGCTATCGTAGAATGAACGTTAAATTTAATACGTCGATAAAGGCCTATTTATACGAATATTATAGCCATATAAAATACGCGTAACGAACGTGAATTTAAGATTCATCTGGCAACGTTACGGAGTATGTAACTATTAAAATAAAACAATTTGCGTTAAGTTGTTCGAATGCTATGAGCGCTTGCACAAATGCGTCCGTTCAGAAAAAGTTTGGATACGACGATGTTAAAACGATAACGCCATTGAATTTTAAAGGCAGCGATATAAACGTGAGCGCACTCCGAGCAGCTCCTCGAATCCTTCGCCAAAGTGTAAAAAAAGAGCCGACCGGAGTAAACAATCCGCAATGATAAATAAGTCACATCCAGGTGAGGCGGTAAAGTCCGTGTCGACCGTTAATAATTCCAAGCGATAAGTCGCCGTGGCATTTCATGGAGCACGTGCGCATAAAAATCAACGAGCGGCTCTTTCATCGTCGTCGCCGTCTAAAACGAGCGGCAGCATGGATATCAGGTGCGCCCGCACTGCGTCATTCAGATAAACATCTCTACTACTACTACTCTCGGCGAGCGGCTGAGCATTGGCTGCTTAACGCTGGCGTCACATTAATATTCCGCCTACTTTTTG